TGGTGACACGTGCCACCCAGAAAACCGTGTGATCAAAACAAGGCTGCAATTGTACCCTGGACGTCAACATTGGTCATACTATGTGAAGCAACACAGCGGTCACGCGTGTCATCTCCATAATCTGCGCGAGAAAGAACTAAATGTCTTACCAGCATTCTGGACGCCATCCTGGGGCCATTCAATGCGAAACAGCACAACAGGTGGCACGGGTCACCCAAAAAGCCGTGCGAGCAAAAATAAAGCGTCACTCGAATTGTGGATGCCAACATATGGCCATACAATGGTGACACATATCACCCCGCATATCGCTTGCGAAAGACGAGGTGTACCACTCGCATTCTGGATGCCAACAGGGGGCCATACGATGTGAAACACATGGGTGACACGCGTCACCCCGAAAACCGTGTGACAGAAACTACGTGTGTCACTCTTATTCTAGACGCCAACGTGGGGCCATGCAATGTGAAACAACACAAGGGTAAAACGTTCCAGACCGAAAACCGTGTGAGAAACAAACGCGTGTGTCACTCGCATTCTGGACGCCATCATGGGGCCATACAATGTGAAACAACACAAGGTTGACACATATCACCCCGAAAACCGTTTGAGAGAGACAAGTTGTGTCCCTCGCATTCTAGACGCCAACATGGGGCCATACAGTGAGAGACAGCACCAGGTGACACGTGCCACCCCGAATAACGTATGAGAAAAACAACTGGTTTCACTTGTACCCTGAGCGCCAACATAAGGCCATACAGCGTGACACAGCACTCGGGTGACACGTGTCAGCCCGGACACCGAACAGAGCAACACCAAATGCCACTCGTATTCTGGACGCCAACATACTGTTGGAAAAAAACAAAGTATGTCACATAGATTCGGAACGCCCACATGTGGCCATAAAGTGTGCAACAACACAGGGCGGACCCTGCCACTGGTGCCTTCGGTGGTGCACCCTATGGGGGCACGAAACGTGCGAGGGGTGTACCGAAATTAGGGGTGGTACTGCATGCGGAAACTGCCACTGGGGTCTTCGGTGGAGCGCCCTGTGGCCACGAAGCGTGTGAGGGGTATGCCGAAACGGACGTGGAATCGCATATGGACGCTGCTACTGGGGCCGTCGGTGGAGCACCCTATGGAGCCACGAAACGTGTAAGGGGTTCGCCGACATGGAAATGCTACTGCATGCGGGCCCTGCCACTGGGACCTTCGGAGGAATGGGGACGCGAAAAGTGTGAGTTGTGCAGAAATTGGGGGTGGAACCGCATGCGGACCCTGCCACTGGGGCCTTGGGTGGTGCACGCTATGGGGGCACGAAACGTGTGAGGGGTGCGCCGAAATTAGGGTTGGCACTGCATGCGGACCCTGTCACCTTGAGCCCTCGGTGGATCTCCTCCAGATGGGGCCACGAAGCGTGTGAGGGGTGCGCCAGATTGTGGGTGGAACTGCATGCGGACCCTGCCTCTGGGTCCTTGGGTGGAGCACCTTGTGGGGCCACGGACCGTGTGAGGGGTGTGCCGAAACGGAAGAGGAACTGCATGCGCCCATATGGCGACGATGAAGGCATGCGGAGTGGCAGAGGCAAGGGATGGGAGGAGGGAGGAGGGGGAGGAAGAGCAGGAACGTGGGGCGCTGTCTCTTCAAAACGAGGGCCCAACAACACAGGATGGTTGGGAACAATATTGAGCTCCCAGGAGGGATTTTAGTGAACCTTCTCCCCAAGAGGCCTCCCAAGAGGCATCTAAGAGGCCCTGGCCCACAACTCAGAAGCAGTGGCGGGAAGTGCAGAAGGACACCGAATAAAGCAAATCTCGGACGCGACCGCGGTCAGAAAAGATGTAGAAGCTGTCTGCAAACTCAGGGACGTCGCCCATGTCTACCATACTGTGCAAACCACACCCCCACACACGCACTTGCACTCACACAAACAAAACAGATCTGGGCGAAGGACCCAACCATATGCAATTGTGAATGGGTGTGCCAGGATCGGTTCGGGGCTGCCGTGCGCACGCTGCCACTGGGGACTTCGGCGGAGCTCCCTGTGGGGTCACGAAGCGTGTGATGGGGCGTGCCGAGGTTCGGGCCTAGATGGGGGGCGGAACTGCATGCGAACGCAGCCCTTGGGGGCCTTCTGTGGAGCTCCCCATGGGGCCACGATACGTGTGAGGGGTGTGCCGAAACGTGGGGAAGAACCGCATGTGAACGCACCAACTCGGGTCTTGGGTGGAGCTCCCTATGGGACCACAAAACGTGTGAGGAGTGTGCCGAGATGGAAATGAAACCGCATGGGAGCGCAGCGACTGGAGCCTTCGGTGGAGCTCCCCATGGGGCCACGAAACGTGTGAAGGGTATGCCGAGATGGGTGTCGGAACGACCTGCGAAACCTGCTACTGGGGCCTACGATAGATATCCCTATGGGGACACGATACGTGTGAGGGGTGTGCCGGAATGGATGGTGGAACCGCATGTGAACGCAGCCACTGGGTCCTTGGGTGGAGCTCCCTATGGCGTCACGAAGCGTGTGAGGGGTGTGCCGAAATCGATGGTGGAACCGCATGTGAATGCAGCCACTGGGTCCTTGGGTGGAGCTCCCTATGGGGCCACGAAACCTGTGAGGGGCATGCAGGGATGTGGGTCGGAACCGCATGACAACGCAGCCATTGGAGCCTTCGGTGGGGCTCCCTACGGGGCCACGAAACGTGTGAGAGGTGCGCCGGCATGCTAGAACCCCATGCAACCGTAGCCACTGCGGCCTTCGGTGGAGCTCCCCATGGGGCCACCGAACGTGCGAGGGGTGTGCCGAGATGAGGGGCGGAACTGCATGCAACCGCAGCCACTGGGGCCTTACGTGGAGCTCTCTGTGGAACCACGAAACGTGTGATGTGCTTGCCGAAACAGAGACACCCCGAGGGAAGCGTGTGAGGAATGCGCCAAGATGGGAGGTGGAACCGCGTGCAACCGTAACCACTGGGGCCTTGGGGTCACGGAACGTGTGAGGGGTGTGCCGAGGCAGAGACACGAGCATGGAAGCGTGTGAGGGGAGCGCCAAGATGGGGGGGGGAACTGCATGCAACCGCAACCACTGGGGCATTACGTGGAGCTCCCTATGGAGCCGCGAAACGTGTGAGGAGTGTGCCAAAACAGAGAAATGCGGAATGCAGAGGCACGGATGAGAGGAGGGAGGAGGGGCAGCGGGAGGAGGAGGAGGAGGAGGAGGAGGAGGAGGAGGAGGAGAAGGAGGAGGAGAAGGAGGTGGGACGCGAGGCGCTGTCTCTTCAAACCGAGAACCCAACACCACAGGATGGTTGGAAACGAAGACACAAACAGAAACACACACGCACACAAAAACACTCCAGGACCAATGCCACATCGACGCAAGTATATAAACACTCTTGGCATAATGCATCATGCCCTGTTCTTGATCACTAAAGCTGGCTGGGCGAGCGATGATCCAAGTGCGCGTCTCACGAGCACGTTTCGGCACGAATGCAGTCGCCCGCATTCTCCCCCTACTGCTCCTCTCATCCTCGTCCTCCCCCCTATCCCTATCATTCTTCTCCTCCTCCTCCTCCTCCCCCTCCTTGCCTGCGCCCTCGTCCTCAACCCTGTTTGTCACCTTCATGTTCCTCCTTCTCCCTTCTCTCTCCTCGGTACTCGCAACTGCCCGCTCTCTACTCCTTCCGCCCCATCCTCGATGCTTCATCCCTCCTCCCTTCTCCTCCTGCCCCCTGCCGATCGTGCTCCTCCGTCCTTCTCGTTGTCACTGTCCTCGCCCTCCGCCACATCAGCTCGCTCCATAGCCCGCCCAGTCGTGGAGAAGCAGCGATGGGCGCAGGAGAAACACGCGGGCAATCCTCCGGGTGCTTCCCCCAACTTTCCGTCGGGCAGCCTTCCACATGAGCGCTCCTCCTGCTCCCCCCTGCAACGATTGCTGCCCCTCCTCCACCCCTTCTCCCGATCGATCCGCCACCGTGCCCCCTGACGCTTTTGAGGCGTGCTTGAATGCCAGGTGCCGTCTGGCAGGGCTCCTGCAATCTTCTGCGGGCCACCCCCGCTCGCCGCAACCCCCCTGCGCGTACCGCCCCCCCCCGCTCCGAGGCGCTGCCAGCTAGCAGACACGCCCCTGGCGCTCTCCGCGCCGTCGGAGATACCCAAGATGGCCTCTCAAACGGACAAGTCAGGCCACCAAGGCCGCCACCATGGGCACTGTACTACGGCCCAAGAGGCCTACAAGACGGCTCCAGCAGAGCCTCCAGTGAGGCCCGCCGAGCCACGTTCATGGACTGTCCTCAGGTCGCTGCAGGATTTCCGCATTCTCGCCTGCTCTAGCTTCCGACGCTCCAAGACGGCCCTGTGACCCCAAGATCCCCCCAAATCGTTCAAGAGGCTCGCAAGAGAGTTCGAAGACGGCCCAAGAGTTATGTTGCTCCCATCGTGTTTTGGGACCACATCCCAGACATCATTTCGGGCACCCAGAACATCATCGAAAGAATGTCGAAACAGTGTCGGAGGAGTGTCTCCCAGGGCCCGACACGTGAAAACCATGCAATTTCGGTACTTCCCTGGCGCTCGACATTCTGTCTGGTGATCGAGGCTAAAGTAGGTTGGAACACCATAACCCAAGAGGGCCCGCCCCCCATTCCCAGTTCCATTCTCAATCACAATCTCTTCCCTGGCAATCATTCCATCTCCTCCTCCTCCTCCTCCTCGAGCGGGAGTTGCGAGAGGAGCGGCAGGAGCAGAAGGCGTGGCTGCGAAGGCGAAGCCAGTACGTCGCGGAGGGCGCCGACGCAGTGGCGACAAGGACAGGAAGCTGCAGACGAAGGACGACGGCCTGCGCGAGCTGCTGCTGCTGCTGCTGACGATGCAGGTCACCCAGCTCACACAGCGCAGCCGCGCGATGTGGGGCATGCTCACGAAGACGATCATCGTCGACGACGGCTCGAAGATCGTGAGGGCGATGCAGGAGGAAGCCAGGACACTCTCGGAGAACGCGAGGGAGATGCGGGAGCAGGTGAAGCGGATGAAGGACGCGGGGAAGCAGGCCAAGGACGCGAACGACAAGCCCGCGGAGGTCCAGGCGGACAAGGACGCGGCCGCCGCCTCTCTCGCGCCGCGAGAGCTCGGCCCCCCGACGGCGACGACGTTCTGCGCGATGGTCGAGGCGCTCGCGGGGGAGGAGGTCGGGCGCGCCAGCAGGCAGACGCTCGAGGCGTGGTCCACGGCCATGGTTGGCGACCCGCCCGACTTCGTCAAGCTGTGCAGGCTCGAGAACTGCTACCAGAAGGACATGGTCAAGATCGTGTTCTCGATCAACGACCAGACCAAGGAGAACATCCTCACGGACTCGTTCAAGCAGCTCGACTGCGCGGTGACGTCGGGCACCGCGCCCGCTGGCTACATGGAGGACGAGCTCTCGGCCTGGATCGACGTGCTCAAATCGTGATGAGGGGAACATCGGTGGGAAGGACTCCAGGAGGTCGAACTACCCTGTCTACCTCTCCGTGGTGGACGACCGCTCTGACGTGTGGCCGCGCACAGCGTCGCGCCTTTGAGCGCGGCAGTGCTGCCGTGGCACCAGGAAAAAGATGGTAACGGCCTGAGGCCGTGGACGGCGGGCAGCCTCGATCTTTTTTTGTCGTGTGCGTGTGTGTGCGGCGCGGCGCGTGCGGCATGTGTGTGCGCACTCAGGTAGCATTGCTCATCAGCTGCGTACTACTACTACTCCTCCTCCTCCCCTTCTCCTCCTCCTCCTCCTCCTCCTCCTCCTCCTCTTCCTCCTCCTCCTCCTCCTCCTCCTCCTCCTCCTCCTCCAAGACGTCCCAAGAGGCGCCCAGGACGGCTCCAGGACGGCCCCCAGGCAGGGCGAGGGCCCCGCACGAGCCGAGACTCTTCGAGCCCTCTGCCCCAGCAGGGGCCCGCCTGCGCTCTCGAGCAGCTGGCGTCCCAGAATGCTGCGCTGGCACGGCGGCGGAATTGCCGGAGGCAGCAGGATACCCCCCCCCCCGTCTCGGAGAAGGAAGAGGTAGCCATACCTCCCTAACCCCTCGCCCGTTTGCCCCCTTGTTGGGCCTCCTGGGAGGCCCCCGTCGCCACCGCTGGATTCGCCTCGAAACTCTGGTCAGAACGCACCCCGGGAGAGGTCCGGGGAGTAGCGGTATCAATACCTTTTGCTCTCCCCACTGTCGCGCTTCCAGGTGTGTCGGTGGGGCGGACTGGGCGTTTCGCCGGAGACTGCCCCCCCCACCTATGACCCGGAAGCTCCAGATCGGGAACAGTTCCAAGGATGGAGCACGGCTCACTTTCAACCTGGGGTTCTCGCCTTAGCGCCGCCGCGCACATAAGGTACGCAGCGGTTAACAGGATGGAGAACGCCTCGTTTTCAAAATGGTGCTCTCGCGTTAGGTCAGCGCACATTCGCCTTCAAGGCTTGCAACCGTTACACAGTCACAAGAATGGAACACAGGACGTTCTCAAAATGGTGCCCTCGCCTTCCTTAGCGCCGCGCGCATTCGTCTTAACAGCTGGCAGCAGTTATGCGGATGCTAGGCGGCTCATTTTGTAAGATTGAGCCCTCACCTAAGCACGGCGCACACTCGCCTTAAAATTTTACGGCATTTGCAAGGACGGAGGACGGCACATTTTCAACATCAGGCTCTCGCTTGAGACGCCACCCAGAACTGCTACATCTGTTGCAGATGAACGGATGGACGGCGGCTCATCTTCAAACTCTGGCTTTCGCTTGAAGCTTCCTCGGGACGCATGACCCAAATTGCAAGCTCCTGAAACGGTTGCACGGATGATGGGCGGCCATTTTCTCAAAAAAACATATCGCTGTAAACCTCGTTGAATTGTACCGCCATGCCTTCTCGGATTCCTCACTCTGTTCTAGCAGGATGCCGGCAACTCCTTCTTCAAAACGGGGCTCACGCCATAATGACAGGCCCAACGGGCGCTGGTCTGTTAAGGAGGGCGCTTCTCACAGTCAAAAAGATGGCCTGCAGGGACGAACTACGAGGGTGTGTTTACTGTGGTCCTCCTCCTCCTCCTCGTCCTCCTCCTTCCTGCTCCAACTTGGAGCCCTCTGGAACCCATGACTCTGCGGATACCCCCAGGATTGGGTCGGACGAAAGGGGGAAAGCAAAGTGCGAAGGGGGTCTAGCGAATCAGCTCACACAGCTCGTCCTTCCATGTATCCAGGAAAGCGCCCCGCGTCGAGCATGATAGCAGCTAAATGCAGCAGATGTCGTAACCCTCCGTTGCCCCATCCCCAATCTCGTCCGACCCCCCCGAGGACCCCCTGCAGTCACCGCGCTACCATGAAGAATGCCGAGTAGCGACACACGAGGACCATGAAGAATGCCGAGGACCCCCTACAGTCACCGCGCTACCATGAAGAATGCCGAGGACCCCCTACAGTCACCGCTGCCCACGGCAAACATCGGGCACGAAGGTGTTCCCCTGCCTAACTCTGAGGAGCGGCTCGAACACAGAGCCCCTCCTGAACCCGAAGCGGCCCCCACGCCCGCGTCTTGACCGCACGGTTCCCCAGAACAGTGCCCATCCCCCTCCTGCTGCTGATGCTCCTCCCCTCTGGAAGTTCCCACGAGCATTCCAGGGGTCTCCGACATGGTCTCCTGGAACTCCTGGAAGATTTGGCGACGCCTCTGGGATCCGGCTAAAAAGGGGGGACGGAGAAAGAAAGTGCAATGGAAGTAGCAACAATTCACTGGACAGCGCGCCCCTTGGCCCCCCGCCAGCCCCACGCCAAAGGGCGAGCATATATACGGGCACAGCACCGCGCTGGATGCGTAGCCGTCGGCTGGGCCAACCCAGCGAATGACGCATCGAGTGGCGGCTGGATGCCCGCGCCGAGCACAGCTCTTCTCGGCTCCTCCGAAATATCCTCACCCTTGGATATAAACTGCCACCGACATATCCTCACTCGCTGGCTTAATACTGCCACCAAAATATCCTCCCCCGTTAGCTTAAAACTACCAACGAAATGTCCTCACCCGCTAACTTAAAACTGCAACCGATACATCCTCACCCGCTGACTTAAAACTGCCACCGAAATATCCTCACACGCGGAAATAAAACTGCCACCGAAATATCCTCACCCGCTGGCTTAAAACTGCCACCGAACTATCCTCACCCGCTGGCTTAAAGCTACCACCGAAATATCCTCATCCTCGGAAGTAAAACTGCCACCGACATATCCTCACTCGCTGGCTTAAAACTGCCACCGAAATATCCTCACCCGCTGGCTTAAAACTGCCACCGAAATATCCTCACCCGCTGGCTTAAGACTGCCACCGACATATCCTCATCCGCGGCAATAAAACTGCCACCGAAATATCCTCACCTGCTGGCTGAAAACTGCCACCGAAATATCCTCCGCGCTGGCTTAAAACTGCCACCGACATATCCTCACTCGCTGGCTTAAAACTGCCACCGAAATATCCCTCCCGCTGGCCTAAAACTACCACCGAAATGTCCTCACCCGCTGGCGTAAAACTACCACCGACATATCCTCACCCACAAGCTTAAAACTGCCACCGACATATCCTCACGCGCTGGCTTAAAACTGCCACCGACATATCCTCACCCGCTGGCTTAAGACTGCCACCGAAATATCCCCACCCACGAGCTTAAAACTGCCACCGAAATATGCTTACCCGCTGGCTTAAAACTGCCACCGAAATATCCTCATCCGCGGAAATAAAACTGCCACCGACATATCCTCACCCGCTGGCTTAAAACTGCCACCGAACTATCCTCGCCCTCTGGCTTAAAACTGCCACCGAAATATCCTCACCCGCTGGCTGAAAGCTGCCCACAGAGGAGTATCCTCACCCGCTGGCTTAAAACTGCCACTGACATATCCTCACCCGCTGGCTTAAACCTGCCACCGAAATACCCCCCCCGCTGGCTTAGAACTGCCATCGAAAGATCCTCACCCTCGGACATACAACTGCCATCAAACTGCTTTGTGGTTCAGATCAGTCTGTCTGTCTGTCTGTCTACCTCGCGAGAATCAAATTACGGGCTGCGCCCGTAACATATCCTCACCCTGCCTGGCCCCAAACTGCATCCGCAATATCGTCACCGCACCTGGCGGAAAACTAGCCCTCCCAAATATCCCCCCCCGCTGGCTTAAAGCTGCCTCCCGAAATATCCTCACCCGCTGGCGTCAAGCTTCATACTGCCGCCCAAATATCCTCACCCACCCTGGCCTAAAACTGCACCCGAAATATCCTCACCGCCCGTCGCTGAAAACTAGCCCTCTCAAATATCCTCCCTCGCTGGCTTAAAACTGCCTCCCCAAATATCCTCACCCGCTGGCGTCAAACTTCATACTGCCGCACCAATATCCTCACCCTCTCTGGCCTAAAAATGCCCCCGCAATATCCTCACCGCCCGTCGCGGAAAACTCCCCCCAAAATATCCTCACCCTCTTGCTCAAAACGACCTCCCGAAATATCCTCACCCGCTGGCGTCAAACTTAAAACTGCCGCCCAAATGTCCTCACCCCCAAACAATAAAAACTGCCACCTAACGGCTATGGTGGTTCAGTTCAGTTCAGTTCAGTCAGTCTACCTCGCGAGAATCAAATTACGGGCTGCGCCCGTAAATGAGCAACGCATGCAACACAACTGAGAAACAACACCATGATGCTTCCAGGGCCCAAGCAAAAACGGATACGAATGCTTCCGTAGCGTTCAATCATCGACCCCCTCCATGTGCTCACCACTTCTGTCTACGTGCGCGAATTTGGCGCCATAATAAAGCGCAAAGTCTCGAGTGGAACGTCTATGCCAGCCGGCGCGAGATTCAAGGGTGGTCGTGGACCTGCACGCGGAGTACACCGTTACGTTGTTGCACCTATGCCATCCTTAGCGTAAACCAATACGGGTCCTGAAGGCATACGGGTCCTGGACCCGAAAGCCTCCCCCAAAGACCAACTTTTCATCATGAGTCGTTTTCTGACAATCCCAGGGCCCATGCAACGCCGCAGCACCCCGAATACAATGAAACACCTCAGGACCCGTTTACTTCATGACCCGCTTCCTTCATGGCGACAGCCGCTGGAACCGACGCCGAAGCCAAGAGACCAGCCGGGCAGCCGCGAACTTCGACCGTGCTTCTTTATCCATCCGCAGCGCGCTGCCGCGGCGTCAAGTCAGGGGCCTGCGACGGGCTCTCCGAACGCAAGGACAGCGTTTGGAGGAGGAGGAGGAGGAGGAGGAGGACAAGGAGAAGAGGGCCCCATGCCGTCGACCTTCTGCTTCGGGGACTTCTTGCACGCGTGGGCATCATTGCGTACGCGTTGGCCTACATGTTGTTGAGCGTGCTTCTGGCCCCTCCTGGGCCTTTGAAGCTTTCCGTAGGCCTGCGGGGCCCCAAACTTGAAACAGTCGGGCGATGGGGGTTTCAAACCTCCCCCGAGGTTTTCTGCAGCATTCGGACGCTTCCGCGCTAGCTCAACGGAGGTCTGAAAAGGCTACTGGCCGCCCCGGATTCCAACGCGATCGGAAGGATCGACGAGTAAGAACGAGGAGGAGGAGGAGGAGGAAGGAGGAGGAGGAGGAGGAGGAGGAGGAGGAGGAGGAGGAGGAGGAGGAGGAGGAGGAGGAGGGAGGAGGAGGAGGAGGAGGAGGAGAGGAAGAGGAGGAGGAGGAGAAAGAGGAGGAGGAGTAGGAGGAGGGCGGAGGAGGAGGAGGGGCGGGCGGGCGGGCGGGGGCGGGCGGGCGGGGGGCGGGCGGGCCCTCCCTCCCCCGTTCACTCTACTCATCCCTGCTCCCTCCTTTCCCCCCCCCCTCTGGGGCGATGGAGGGTGACGTCGACGTGGCATCCGCGGCGCGTGGGCAGCGGCGGCGGCGACAGGTTGGTGGTGAGGGCGGGGCCATGCAGGTGGACGAGGACGGGGCGGGTGCCGTGGAGTCGGCAGCAGGACCAGCCTGGGCCATCTCCGCCCCTACGTCGCGGAGCATGGCCATGTGCGCGACGTGCCTCGGAGAGGTCCCCGCCAGGGCGCCTCGAGTACGCCGCGGCGGGCCCGGCGCACGGGTGCACCACATAGGGTGTGTGGCCCACCTGTGCGGCCCGGTCGAGGGTCTAGCGGGCTGGGCCTCCCTTCGCCCGGAGAGGCAGCTCGAGGCGCAAACTGCGCACGCAGCTGCGGGAGGAATGCGAGGAGGAGGAGGTGGAGGAGCAGTGCCTGGAGCAGCCGCCCCCGCCCTGGCTGAGGAGGCCGCGGCTCCGCCGCAGCTGGAGCCGGGCGACGCGGTGCAGTACGGACAATTGCTGCACATGGGCTTCTGGGACGGGATCTCATGGGAAGAGCTGCACGACCCCATCCCTACGGTCCGCGTTGTGCCGGAGGCCGTCCGCTACGCGATTGCGGACCTCCGGAAGGCCGTGTGCGACGCCGTGCTCGGAGCAAACGGGGGGCAGGAGGAGGCGCGGAACTTGAAGGCCTTTTGCTTTCTGGATCGGCTGCTTTTCGCGACGGCGCGGAAGAGGAGAGGAGGAGCGCGAGGCCAACGAGGAGAGACGCTGGCGCGGACCCTTGCCAGACGCACCAGATTGGCTTGGGAGGGCGCGTGGGGCGTGTTGTGACAGGAGTCGGCGATGCCACGCCCTGGGGAGGGCAGCGTTGCCCCGACGGAGGCACAGCAACTGGCCAGAGACGTCGCGAGTGTGGCCGAGGCCTTCGCTGACGAAGACCTGCGGGAGGCTTTGAGGGTCGTGGACGGCAGGCTCGAGCTGGCACCCGACGCGAAAGCGCGGCGATGTCTCCCAGACCTCTTCCCCCGAGCTGAAGCTCAACCAGTGCTGCCTGAGAGCCGGCCGTCGGAGGAGGACACCGCAAGCTTTCTGGTGGAGCTGCAGAAGGCGTACCGCTACGCGCCTCGCAACAGAGGCGCGGGCCCCGGCGGGTCCAGGAACGAGCACTGGTCGTGGATGCCGGGGTACTCGGCGCCCTGGGAAAGCTTCGCAGAAGTAGCGCTCAAGCTGCAGCTCGGACAGGTGGCCGCGGAGGTCCACGGGCCATGGCTGTCGGCGCGCATCCTGGCAGGCGACTGGGAGGAGCGGGACAAAGTCCGTCCCTTCGCCTTGGGGGGCGTGCACAGGCGGGCCGCGTCCAAGGCAGTCGGCCGCGTGTTCCGCAGCAGGGTCGCGGCAGCCCTCGGGGGCAAGGAGTACTCAGTCGGGGAAGCACGCGGGGCGGAGCGCATGCACAAGGCGGCCCTCCTGGACCTCGACACCCGGCCTGGGTGCTGCAAGCTCGCACTGGACGTGAGCAATGCCCACAACGAGTTTTGCCGCGAGGCCGCCGCCAGGGCGGTTCAGGAGTTGGTCCCTGACCTGCTCCCATGGACCCGCCTGGCCCTGAGCACCGCCACCGAGCACGTTCACGTCGCGCGGGACGGCACGAGGACGCAGCTCCCGAAGGAGCGCGGCGGAGACCAGGGGACGGCCTGACCAACATGGTCTTCCCGCTCTGATACAAGAAGGTGGTGGATGCTGTCGAGCGCGCGGCGGGCCTCGAAACGGACCCTGGGAGGAGCTACGCCTACCAGGACGACCTCGACGTCGTCTTTGCCACGGCGGCCGCGCAGCCCGCTGAGGAGGCGTTCGGGCGGGCTTGCGCCGAAGTGCGACTGCGGCCCAACCCGTCGAAGACCAAGCCGAGTCCTGGCAGGGAGGTGCCGGTGGCCGCGTTGACGGGCCGGTGGGAGGTGGAGCCGCGGGCGCTCGTCCTAAGGCACGGGGCCTTCCCGCCGGTGCCCGCGGCCCCTGCTGTCGCCCCAGCCGCGGGGAGCATCCTGGCCGAGGGGAGCCCAGAGGTGTCCGCGCTGGCAGAGAAGCGCGCGCGCTTCTTCCTGCGGCTGCGCCAGCTGCAGGCGGCGGGACTCGACCGACAGACTGCTGCGGCGCTGCTCCGGCTCAAGACGGGCTCTGACTACACGTTCGTGGCCCGCACTTGTGGCATCCCGGAGGCTGAGGCCCGGGCCATGGACGCAGCGCTAGCGGCGGAGGCGCAGCACGCCCTCGGACTACAACAGCTGAGCAGCACGGCGGGCAAGCAGCTCTTCCTCGCTGGGAAGGACGGCGGCGCTGGGTTCCAGAGCGTGGAGCTGACCGCGCCTGCCGCCCACGCCGCTTCCTGGCACCACAGCGTGCTGCACTGCCTGAGCAGGCTGGGACTGACGGACGCCAGCGCCCTGGCCGCCCTCAGCCCCTGGGCGAGGCGCTGCCTCCCTGCGGCCACGGCCACGCTGCAGGAGGCGCTGGGGGACACTACGGCCCAGGTGGGCGACGAAGGATTGGCAGCAACGCAGCACTCACTGGCTACGGCCCCTCTCGCTGCGGCTGCCCGCCTGGTCGCCGACCTCGCGCAGTTCAGCATCGCAATGGGAGTTCGCCTGAACCTCGACCTGCCAGGCTGCACTGGGCTCTGCCAGCACCGCCACCCCAATGGCGGGACTTGCGGCGCGCCGCTCGAACCGAAGGGCAGACACGCGCGGGCCTGCCCGGTCGGCGGCTGGCTCGTCCGCCGGCACGACGCGGGGTGCGCAGCGCTCGCGGAGTGGTGCGAGGCGCAGAGCTGCTCGGTGCACCGCGAGGTGCTGCTCCCGCACGCCTCTCCGCAGAGCCCCGAAGCGCGCATGGACCTAGTGATCTACGCGCCCGGCGCCGTTGGACCGCTTTTGGTCGACCTCACGGTCGTCAGCGCGGTTTCCCAGGACGCCTTGGCGCTCGGGGCTGCGAGGAGGGACGGGGCTGCCGCAGCAGCAGCGGAAAGAAGGAAACGAGCTCGCTATCCTCTGGTGCCCGTGCTGCCCTTCGTAGTGGAGGACCACGGGCGGCTGGGGGAGGAAGCGGCGGCCCTCGCCAAGAGGCTGGCGCCTGCTGACGACGCGGGGCGTTCGGCGGCCATCCGCGAGCTCCAGCAGGCCCTTGGCTGCGTGCTGCAGCGGCACGCTGCGGACGCGGTGCTGGCCGCCACCCAGGCCAGGCCCTGGCGGGCGGCCGCCGCGCTCCGGGCGGCGCCCAGCGGGCGGCCAGAGGGCGCCGCGGCGCTGGGCGGAGGAGGGGGAGGCTGAGGGCAGAGGCGGCGCCAAGGCGGCTGGAGGCGGCGGAGGCGGCGCCGGCGCTGCAGGGCGGCGCACCGGGGAGCCAGGCTGCGGCTGGGGGCTGGGGGGCTGCAGGGGGCCTGCGGGGCGGCTGGGCTGCGGGCGCGCGCGGGCAAGGCCGGGGGCGCCGCTGCGAGCTGGAGGAGGCTCGCGGACCGGCAGGGCAGCGGGCGAGCGGCGGAGGGGCGCGAGCGCTGGAGGCCGCTGCCCACAACCATTTCGGGGTCGGCTGCTCCCCAGAGCCGTCGACGGGCGGACCCCTGGCTTGCCAGGGGCGTGGGCTCGTCCCCCCTGGGGAGAGAAAAGGGTACGGGTCCCCCGACGGGGGGGCAGCCCCCGTACCTGGCGCCGATGTCGGGGTGGTGTCGTGCGGCGGCGGCCCCCCTTGCGGTGGGGCTGCGCCGGAGGCGCCTGGCGGTGGGACCGCACCGGAGGCGGCGGCGCGCGCGGCGGCCTGGTCGTGCAGGTCCCCATGGTGCTCCCGGGTAAGCCCAGACTAGAGGCCCTGGCCGGCGCACCCCCTCCCCCTGGGAGCGGCCGCCTTTTGCGCGCCACTCCCGGGGGAACCATCCCGTTTGAGGGGCGAGGGGGCGAGGGTGTGCGCCGGCTCCCGACCAAAGAGCGCCCGCGGCAAAGCGACTCGCGGCGCTCGGAGGAGGAGGAGGAGGAGGAGGACGAGGAGGGGGAGGAGGGGAGGAGGAGGAGGAGGAGGAGGAGGAGGGAGGAGGAGGAGGAGGAGGAGGAGGAGGAGGAGGAGGAGGAGGAGGAGGAGAGAGAGGGAGGAGGAGGAGGAGGAGGAGGGAGGAGGAGGAGGAGGAGGAGGAGGAGGAGGAGGAGGAGGAGGAGGAAGACCGCCGGAAGTATTGGGAGACCCCCAACCGCGCCATCCAGGTTCTAGCCATCTCCATCCCGCGAGTCGCCACAGGGTGGACGAAATTCTTTTCCGACCGCGCCAGCGACCTGGCTACGGCCTCCTGGTGAATTATCCAGAAGATGATGCAGGCCATGCTGGTTGCTTGGGCCCGCGCGCTGATTCGCTCACTTGCTCGTGGGTGGTGGGTGACCTCGCGGAGGAACCTCTATGTCGATGGCAAACGTGTATGCGGTGTTGGCTTCGAGGAC